TAATTAATGATTATTTGTTGTTCACTTTCAAATTGGAACTCTTAATAACAACATATAATAGACAGTCATCTGTTGCTCTGTCAGATCTTGTGACCATTACTGCAATTTCTATCATCCAATTTTATAAATAAAATAGCAAAATTAGCAGACCTTCACACTTGCTGTCTGTGTTACGAAACTGGAACACATTTTTTTAATGGTTTTAGGTGCTATAAATATCCCCTCTGTTAGTCTGGTTTTGACACTTTTTCATTCAATTTAAGGTGCAACTTTTGTTGTAAAACTTTGTGGTCGTCTGTGTGTGTGATAAGGTTGGCCTAGCCTTCCTGTAGTCTGATGAATTGACCAAAGATTTAACTGACCTTTCATGTATGTTGTATTAGCAAGCTAGTAGAGTTTGTAGCCTGCACAGAGTTTGAAGAAAATAGTTTTTTTTTTTCTTGAAATAGGGAAATGAATCCCAGAAACAATAATTGATTAAATTATTAACCCGTAGCTTATACTTACTTCTGTTGAAAAGATGAAGACAGCAAGTAACTTGTTACATTTCTTTAGAGAGACTTTATAATGGAATTCTGATAATTTCTGTATTTTAAATGCTATTGGTTAAGCCTACTCGTAAAACCAAATGCACATGATGTATGCTATCGAACTTCAGAAACCAAAAATGGAAAACCCACATTAAAGATAACTGGTAAAGAAATAGTTAGTTTTGATGTACATCATTTGGGAAAATTTTTCTCATATAACATTTCAGACAACAGAACTAGGCAACAAAAACACACTGAACCTGTGTTTAAATCTGATGAAGAGGGAGGTTGCTTGTGAAATATTAAGATTTTTCTGCTGGATATTTAAACAACTAGTTTAATAATGCTTGGAGACGGCTTGAATGGGTAATGAAGAAAAACTTTAATATAAGTTTAACATAACAGCAAATGTACAACGTTTCGACAAGGTTTTGTCATCATCAGGTACACGAATTTGAAGTGACTAGTTTGTTTGCAGACATGCGATTAAAGGCTCTAGCGCAAGACATTATGGATTGTTTATTTATTTTTTTTAGATGGGATGCAATTTCCTTATGTTTTTTTTGGAACTTATTTGAATATTTGGAAATAATGCAAATATTTTAAACACCCGTCAGTACGCTTGTAAAAACATGCCTAGACAATGCATTATATCCAGTTTAAAAAAAAAAAAGTCATTCCTAGAAAAGTGATGTCTTAAATAGCTGATAACTGTGAGATCTCAATGACAGGATGGTTGGGTATTTTTGAAAGATTAAAAACAGCCATCAATAAGTTGGTGATAACATCTCATGGGTATTCACACTGTAAGTTCAATATCTTGCACTAGAGTCTTTGAATAAACAATGATACATAAGGTTTGGTTTCTTCATTACTAAATTCCCTTTAAAAGTCGTATGGGTGATATTCAAGTGTTCATATAAGCTTAAAAGTCAGTCAGTTAATCCTGTAACAATTCATACTTTGTTAATACAGATTTCTTTCACTGAGTAAAATGTTTAGTTCTTGAACTGATTTTCTTTACACCATAGGCTCTTAGATCAATGGTATCATATCTAAAATATCCCGAGTCAAAGAGGTTAGCATCAATCATTTATAAAGATAAACAAAGTATCTATGATTTACTAGCAAATGATTAAATCATTGATTTTGAGTTACACAATTGAAGTGTAACATTGCTGCCTGAGTTTATAGTTTATTTAGTTTTATGTGTGTTTTTTTTAATCCAGTTTTATGGGGTTTGTTTCCGATTCAGAGTAACCCTTTGTTTCCTGTTCAGCTAGTTTTTATTAACTTCATTGGAGATGTGTCCAGAAACAAATAGCCTATCCTCTGCTTCTATGAATATTCTACTAATATTTTTGTAAAGATTATCCATATTTGTGTTTTAAAAATCTTATATCATTTATAAAAAAAAAAAATGTGTAACCATTTTGGGAGATTTTGATATTCATTTCGAAAATTGTAGCCAGTAGCTGATTCGCAAGTCGGTCTGCCTTAGCAAACCAATCATAATGCAGGTCACATTTGAAACTCCTGAAGTTGAAACAAAGGGCAGGTTTTGTTTATTTCCAAATGTTTGATATTGAAGTTCAACTACAACAGCTTTGCTCTGTATAGATGTCACTTACTGTGTAGGTCTACAGCTCTGTACTGTTTTAATAATCCATTCCAAACTCAAACTGTGTAAACACTTCTACTTTTGTACTCTATTTACAGTGTGCTGTCTTTAAAAATACCTTCCAAATTTTTGCCAAAATTATTAACCACAGTTTATACCCTGTGGTCCTGGCATACTTATCTGTTTCTTCATGAATCACAGAGAGGATGTATTTTTGAAACTGTAGTATCATAAAAGACAGTAATTTACTCGGTATTATTTTTATCTTTCATTAAGAAAATTCAAATAATTATTCATTAGAACACCTTTACTTTTTATTCAGTAATTTTAATAAAAAAAAATAATTCATTTTTTTACCATGGGTAAAGTAATTTAAATGTTATCTTGTAAAAATCTCTCTGTAGAGGAAAAAAAAGACACAGGAACAACGTTTTTCAGAAACTAAGACATGGTAGCTCATTAGCCGTAAAGGGAACCATGAAAGTGCAAAGAGGTTGATGTTTTTATGTTAAGTGCAATGAGTGTTGTGATTTTCAAGAAGTTTATTGTAGCAGAAACTGGTAAATCAAATTATATCAAATTAACATGAAGTCAGATTGCTGACTTACTCGTAAATCAAATTATATCAAATTAAGATGAAGTCAGATTGCTGACTTGCATAAAAGAGAGTACAAATAATTGTTATTGCATTAAGTAATCTAATCACCAGCATTTTCAAGATATTCACAATGTATTAAAAAAAATCTGTATCTCATAAGTAGATGTTTAAATAAAAACAACCAATCAACCCTTACGAACTTGGATCTGAAAGTTATTGTCTTTTAAATTGTTTATATTAAAACACACACACATTTTATATATATATATATAAACTTGTTACAGTTGTGATTTGCTGTGCCTCTTTTCCTGGATTTTTTTCATTTTTTTCCCCCCATTTTTTTTCTACTTGTAAGAAGATTTCTATATATATATATATATATCCGTGTGTGGGGTTGGGGGGGGGGGATTAATAAGCTGTGATATATTTCACAGTAAGGAACTCGTTTGCAGAAGAGGAGACACTGTAAGACATCTCAGCTGTGATACTTAATAAGACTTCGTGGAATTGTAGTTTACCAGATATATCTTAATAACAATAAAGTGGTGTTAAAAATAGTAAATAAACTTGTAAAACGATATGAAGATGAAAAACAAAGAGTCAAATTACAACGTTTCTTGTTATCGTCAGGAGCAACTAACGTAGGAATTTACTTTTTTACTAAGTCGTAAAAATACAATTCTGGTGTGTAACGATTGAAATAGAATTGATAGAAACTTATTTGTCGTATTCTTGCCGGCTTGATGAGCATTATTAGAATTAGACGAAAGGCCTCGTCGGCACTGGATATAGCAGATACAGCGTAGCTGGCATATTATTACAATATTTTTTTTACTTTTACTCCAAGTTCTAGTAACTAGAGTTTCGTCTTACTGCATTTCCCTCTTTTCAAATGTATAATTATCAAACAATTTTGTGAAACCTTTTTTTTTTTTCTTTATAGTCAAAACACTAAATTTTCAAACACTGGTGTCTACAGATAGTAATATCAATCACAATGTGGCAGAAGATTGAAAAACTTTTATTACAACTGATTATAGTTTTGAAATTTCATAAAACTCTTTTTAACAGGCAGTATCTGGATATTAAACATTTATGTTCTGATTATAATTGCAAAACA